GATTTTAAATCCAGAGCTGCTCTTTCTCAGACATTGCCCCCAAATATTACAATGAATAATTCCAGCCAACAGTGGCAGAGTCTCAAGATCACACAGGCTTAAGCCAGATGATATAGTAGGTATGCTGGTCACTCATCCTCAGGGGGTGAAGTATTATCAGCTACTTTTTTTTTTTAATTTTTATTTATTTATGATAGTCAGAGAGAGAGAGAGAGAGAGAGAGAGAGAGAGAGAGAGGCAGAGACATAGGCAGAGGGAGAAGCAGGCTCATGCACCGGGAGCCCGACGTGGGATTCGATCCCGAGTCTCCAGGATCGTGCCCTGGGCCAAAGGCAGGCGCTAAACCGCTGCGCCACCCAGGGATCCCTTATCAGCTACTTTTGAGAAGAAGGAAGGTAAGAAAAGAAGGACAATGGATTTGTGTGGAGTTTCCTAGTCTTTAAAACCAGAGATCTGTATCGATCATTGCTAGTAAGGTTCATGGGTACAGATGGGCCTGGATCTGAGGGAAGCACATCAATGAGATGCATCATAAAAAAATCCACAGGTTCTTGGCGTGGGGCTCAGGGACAGGCTCCAGGGAATTATCAAACCCAGACATTTACTTAAAAAAATGTTGTCTATATGATGCTCACAGCCTAACAAAGCTTACAAAGTCTTGCTTGAGAAAAACTAATCAGATGCAAATGGCACTGTACTGAGACAGTCTTTATTTAATATTAAGAACTATCTTTGAGAGGGTAAAAGACTCCTTGGTCATCAACTGTTCTTAAATCCTCGTAAAGCAAAGTATACATCCTTATTTTTGCCTGGAGAAGATACTATTATTGCAGATACTTAAAAAGTGTACTTACTTTTTTTTTTTTTGTACTTACTTTTTTTGCTTCTAACATGTAGACTCAAATGTACAGAAGAAAGCCTATCTTAAAATCTGATATGATCTGTATTATATTCAGATTCTCCTCCATAAGGCCGACTTTTAATAATCTAGATCTTGTCTTTTTCCTCTAACTACAGTGAAAAGCTAGAATTCAAAATCATTACTTTGTTCAGCAATAAACTGACATTTTCTTAAAGTTGCAAAATTAGACAAATGTCACCACTTTGCTTAAAGTTCAGGAGTCTGTGAATTGTCAGGCAAAACGACTAGATTCCGACAGAACACGGTTGGATACTGGAGTAAAAAATAATGAGTAAAAATAAATGAGATGCTCCTGTTGTTTTACAGGACTTTTCCTCTCCAAAAAAGAAATGCAGTAAAAATCAAACAGAGGCTATAAGCCTCTTTGGAATTCTCACTGCTCTCCTGACAAAAGTGCTCAGATGTAACTCGGTGTCCCGGCCTTCTACATGCCAGTGCAGCTGAAATGGTACCAAGGGTTCAAGAAGCTGTCCTGTCTGGTTAGTGGACCTCAAGTTTCAACACCTGATCTGATAGACACCTGTGTTCTATACCAGAGGACCTGGCTCACAGGGATGACGGGAGGGCAGGGGGGTGTGGGGAAAAAGCAGTGATGGACGAAAGACTCCAGTCAGTAAAACAATTACATTATAAAAGAAACCCACTTTTAAAATTAAGCTACTCAAGGCAAGGGACTGTTACCTACATATTTTGTATCCCAAATTTACCATCTATTTTCTATCCTGAGTAACGATCTGGTACTCAGTAAGTGTTAAGTAAGCTCTTTCTTTCTTTCTTTCTTTCTTTCTTTCTTTCTTCTTTCTTTCTTTTTTTTTTTTTTGATTTTATTTATTTGACAAAGAGAGAGAGAGAGAGAAAGAGAGAGAGAGAGAACAAGAGAGAACAGGCAGAGGGAGAGGGAGAAGCAGATTCCCCAATAAGTAGGGAGCCCAGTGTGGGGCTTGATCCCAGGACCTTGGGATCACAACCTGAGCTGAAGGTAGACGCTTAGCTGAGTCACCCAAGTGCCCCCAGTAAATAAGCTTTTCAAAGGCATTTTTGCTACTTGCTTTTCTTTGAGACCATAACCTTCTTAGAAAATGCTGGTCCGGCTATGGTGTAAAGGTACACTGCACTCGGGCACCATGATCATCTGTGAGCTAGAGCTCACCTCAGCTTTACTGTAAATAGTAGGCCATCTGATAGTCCTAGTTTCTTTACACTAACAATACTTTTACATCTATCCTGAGAGAGAATAGATTTCTTTTTGGTGTAGAGAGTTGAAGGGTAAATTGAAACCATGTCGTACACACACATTCACTAACTATAAAGGAAGAGTCAAGGAAGGGCAGGTTTAAATCTCCACACATTCGGTCAATTTTGCTTCTTATCAACTGAAGGAAGAAAAAGGAAATCCTGGACATTTCTGAGAGATAGTAATCTCAAAACTCAAGCCCTCTTAGAATGACTCCAATTTTCAGCATGAAGGTCTGAGGTGTTTTGTTTTATTTTTTATTTTTATTTTTTAAAGATTTATTTATTTATTTGAAAGAGATAGAGCGAGCGAGTACGCATGTACACATGGCAGGGAAGGGCAGAGGGAGAGTCTGAAGCTCAGGGTGGAGCCCAGCACAGGGCTCGATCTCACAACCCTGAGATCACAACCTGAGATGAAACCAAGAGTTGGACACTTAACCAACTGTGCGAGCCTGGTGCCCTTGTTTTTTGTTCTTTTTAAATCAACCCTATAAAACCTAAAGAATAGATCTGAGTTGCATTTATAGTTGTTCCTCATACTAGCTTGGACCAAAGAAATATTTAGGAATGGTGGAAAGTCAGGAAGATAATTTATAAGAACCCAACCTCCAATTTTGGTTATACAAAATAGGGTGAAGATGATATTTAGTCAAATGCATTATATTAAGAAGAAATGTTTTAATATTGGAGGCTCAATGGTTAAATAACCCATGAGACAGCATTTTCACAATGTTCAGAAAGATGAACTTTATAGATAAGAGGGAAGAAACAGGAAAGCCATTTCAGACCGGATAGAAAACTGCCTTGGAAATCTGTAACTGGGTGCATGTCACAGGTTACATAACAGCTCTTCTTTTAATATAAATGTATTCCATAGTGAGAAGACTGTTTATGTTGAATCTACAAATGCTTCTTTGTCCAGGGAATGTTCCATCCAACAAATGATCAAGTTATAAACCTTGCTTTTGTTGTGTTAGACACATCATACTCTATACCCTGGATGCAAAAGGAAAAAGGGAAATTGTATTTCAGATGGGAACAATGAATTCCAGTTTTGAGTAAAAGGAGGTAGAATTTCAGTTATGGAAACACACCAGAAAGGGATTAGATCATCTTAAATGCCTTGTCAGGGTTTGTAACTTTTGTTTAAAAAGGAACTTACTACTCAGGTTTCAATTTTTACAGACTAACTCTGACTACTAAGAAGATCTTTTTATTGCCACAGAGCTAGTGGAGGAAAAAAAAAATCCAAACAAACTGAGAAAGAAAAGGTCTTCACCATTACAGTGGGAACAAAATATTTATTCTCATGCTTCTCTTTACTAAAACAAATGTTACTGGCAAATTGAACAGCTTTTGAACTGATACGGGAAACTTGGTAGTTATTCCTGGATGAAGTTTTCAATCTAAAAAATACTAGATAAGCCAGGGTTTCACTAAAAAAAAGGGGGGTGGGGAGCCTGGGTGGCTCAGTTGGTTAAGCGTCTGACTCTTGATTTTGGCTCAGGTCATGATCTCGGGGTTGTGAGATCAAACCCAGCATTTGGTTCCACGCTGGGTGAAGAGATTGTCTCTGCCCCTTGGCCCCCACTCTAAAAATAAAATAAAATAAGATAAATTACATGCAAAGGAGTATTTATGCATAGCCAAGTAATGCTACAGGTTAAAGTTCCATTCTAATTCATCATCCATCTCTACCTTTCACATTGGCAACATAAGCTGGTCTTTTAATAGTGCTTTAGAAGATTATACAACTATTCCTTAAGGAGGTCCACTTCAGAATGGGGTCTGCTGCTGAAATACTGATGATTTTAACCCTTCATTATTTCCCATTGAGTGATATATGTCCTAACTTAGGAATTCATGAAGGAAGGCTGAGATAAAAGAGCCACAAAAAGTAAAAAATAAATAAAAATGAAAATGAAAAAAACTTCAAAGGCAAAACTGGCTCATGATGCCTTAACCATAGTTATGCTACTTTCTGAATTTAGAATTTCACTCTTTTTCAGAATAAGGTTTTCAAATGGTAATACTCAGATTTATAATTTTACTATTTAAAGTTCACCCCCCTGCAGTGATGAATTTAAATTCTGCAAGTACATAAGGCTTTAATTATTACCATACCCCATACTTCATTCAGCTGATTAGCATATGGCACTCTGGGATCATAAGTATGGGTTCAATTAGCACACAGATCTTCCTGTCAATGTAAAATCCACACAACTTCTAGAGAAGCAACTTGGGAGACTCTGCTTTTGGGGTCAGGCTGGTGAAGGCTACAAATCCAATCTGACTACTATTAGCCTTGCAAACCTTGGTAAGTTATTCACATATTCTGAGCCTTAGTTTCCTCGTCAGTAAAATGCAGATTATACCTATCTCAGAGCCATTTTCCCAAGGCAGGTACTGACTGCAATATATATGCGATGTTCGTAAAAAAACTCAGAGCAATGTCAGGGATATTGAACATGCCATAGGTTTTGGCGGGTACTAATGACCTTCTTGCTTCCAGTCTGAAGTGAGAGCAGGGCATGAGGTGCAGACAATGTGTAGTGAGCAATGTTCTGTCTCAGGCAAAGGCTCTTACTAGTCTCTATTTGGCCCTACACACATTAATTAATGATCAAGAAGCCTAGGATCTTGGATGCTCTAGTATACATCAAACATTCTCATAGTCACTTTTTTTTTTCTTGGCATGAGGGGAGAGTTTTATTTTAAGTCTCTACCCATCCCCTTACAAGAACAACTTTGTAACACAGAAATCAGAATATTATTACCTTAACTCATGAGGCAGTTAGCATATTTCCCTTGAAACAAGTGGTTAACTTATTTTACTTCTTACCTTTTCAATCTTTTCATCCAGCATTCTGAAGAATTCTTGTTGGCTTTCAGAGATGTGCATGCTAAAAAACAAAGAGTAGTTAAGTGCATATTTCAATGTTTTCTTAAACCTAGCTCCCTCAAGTGAAAAACGCTGAGTCCTTAAGCTTTCAGGTAGACATTTATTTATTGCTGACTTTTTCACTGCAGTAGTCTAAGTCATACTAAGGATAAATGCCATTACAGTAATCCTGTAAACGTGTTTCATTATAGTCTATCATTATAGTCTATATAGTCTATAGTTCCTATGATTTAAGGTATACAGTTTCCTTTCGATGTACACATTATTTACAGAGATGTTACTGGAGGGGGTGTGCCAAATTTTTTCTTCAGAAACACATTTGTGATTTTTTTTAAAAAAAAAGCATAGCCAAGCAATATAGGGCATATTTCAAGCCTGTGCGGGACTGTAAAAAGAAGATATACCCGTGTTATTAGGTTGAAATGTGTATTTTACAAAGACGGTCATCATTAGCATGGTATCTAGCTGGCAGCAAACAGGCAGACAATTGACATTGCCCCTGAACACTTTGTGCAGTGGTGACAGCCCATGCACCTTGGAAGTGAAATCCCACTGGAATGTACAAGTGAGTCAAAAAGCATACCTGAGTAGCACTTACCCTGTGTGTTTGTTTGTTTTTTTTTTTTCCCTGTGTGTTTGCTTGTCTAATACTACTTCATGGCATACTTAGTGAGACCGACATGGTTGGTGGGGACAAAACATAAGAAGGTAAGGAGAGAAGAGAAGAACCACAGATGGGAAGGGCATGGGGAGAAAAGGGCCTTGTGGCAACACAGTCTTAATGACAATGGTTTCCACACAGCAAACAGGTGTGGGTGGTCCAAGGAGGTTCAGGACTCTGGGCTAAGAGACACATCCCATAGCGTGTCTTCACTTACGAGAAGTGCTCAGTTGTGGCCGTGGCTGGGGATGGAAGGAGGGGAGGCTCTGGAATCACTTCTCCCCTGTGAGTCTAGGTGTGGAAGCAGCCCAACTGACCTTAGCATTATGCCTCATCCTTTAGGGGCCACAGAGAATGGCACAAGTGAACCCAAACCCTTCAGCAGCTCGAAGGTTTTTCCTTGTGTGTAAAACCAAGATTTAAAATTGGGAGCACCATGACATCAGCTCTGATATAAAAGGAAAATAGAAACTATCTGACACCAGCAATCAACTCTCACATATAACATGTAATTTTTCCTGTGAGGTTAATGTCCTGTTTCAGAAACTGGTCTTCTCTTGGTGCAGGTTAGAAAGGCAGGCCAGAATCTGGGATGATAAGACTATATTAAAACAATCTCCTCTCTTTCTCTGGCTGGGCAGAAAAGCCACTTTTGAATGCCTAAGTTTTCCCAGATTCCTCACAGCTTTACTTCAAGTGTCAAAATGTTTTTTTATCTGAGCCACTTCGGATGCAAAACTTCAAACTTTAATAGAGGACCTATCATAAACATTATGTAGATTTCACTTACTAGCAGCCACTCCCATGATCCCAAATCACAATCCCCCTCTGTAATGTTGGGACACCCACTGGAGCCTCTGAGGTGGGCAGAGCTGGCTCTCCTTAAGCAATGGGGCCTTAAACTGTGGGCTTAACTGTGTTCTCTGTCTGCTTTGAACTTTTTCTCATGTGTCTTCTTGTCAAGGAAGGTATTGGTTCCTTTTCACCAGGAAGGCTGCTTCTACTTCACACTTAGCACATCCAAGTCTGTTAGAGTTGTGTCTAAGGTTAGACACAACTGTGTCTAGGTTAGAGCCCCAAACAGGCTCTGGGGGTGGTGGGGGTGGGTGGGTGGGAGGGCAGGGGTGCAGGGGATGGGGGTTCCTGTGAGTAGGGAACAGGCATGTTCTGGTAGTTGCTGTGGCTGCTCAGATACGTTCTGGGCATCCTCCCTGTTCCTGGCCAAGCTCTTAGCAAATAAGGTTGCTGGACAGCTCTGGGTCCCAAATAGGAAAGGCATGAAGACATATAGATATAGATATATCTTAATATAGATAACCATGCACATGATCATGTGTGCACACACGTATCTTAATGTAGATAACCATATATGCATTAGTTTCCCTAGAGAGTCCAAGATATCTCATAAAAATGGCATGTTTAGGATTTGATGTTTACCATGGAAACTTCTGGGTTAGAGTTTTTAACATAATTGCCTTGCATATAACCAAAGGGCAATAAATATTTAATCAACTGGGACCAAGCGGTCCCAATTTTAATTCACGTGGTTCCTGACTCCTCACAGAGGCAGTTCAGTTTGTTAGGATGGGTGAGGTGCAGGCCTCAGATTCTTTATCTATAAAACCATCAGGCACCGGTCTCTGAGGTCCCTTTTGGCACTGATATTCTATGATTATTACCAACTTCCATTAACTCCTTAATCGAACTATCACAGCATGAAAACAGGGATGCTTGATTAGTACTCATGCATACTAGACTTAACAAGATTAGTCTTAAGTAAAAGCGATTCTGCAAATGTGTCTGCCATCCCTGGGATCAAGAAGAGAGCTCAGGGGCGCCTGGGCACTTGGCTGGCTCAGTCAGAGAAGCGTCCGATTCTTGATCCTAGGTCATGAGTTCAAACCCCATGTTGTATACAGACATTAAGTAATTAATACTTAAATGAATTAATTTCAAAAAAAGAATGCAGAGCTCCGTGGTCCATATCAGAAGACCAGTGCCAAAAGTAATGGTGAGGACCTCAAGATGCATATATAGTAAGCAAGCACAAAAACCCTAATGTTCCAGTTTTGTGTAGTTTAACTACATACTTTCTAACCCTTAAAAAATGCATTCCTTGATTAAAGCAAACTGAACAAAAGCCACTTAACCAAAAATTAATTAGTCAGGACAGGGTAACTCCATCTGAATCCAAACAGTGCCTAACTCTGGGGCAGATGGTACAGTGGTTAGGGAAGTAAACTCTGCCATTTTAATTTCCATGTGTGTCCTTTGAGAAACAATTCTAACCAAACATAGGCAACTGGCCTTCAATTGGTGCATCTCTACATCATACCCCACTGATAGAGAAATACTGCCTGCTTTCTCTCTGTGTAAGATCATCAGAACACCTCTGCCTCCCTCTGTCTCATTTCAAAACCTACCAAGAAGTATCTTCCATCAGACTGATTCACACAAACAGTATGTGGACTGTGTTAGCCAGAAAAGTCTAACAGAAGGGTGACTTATTTATTATCAAATCCTGATGCACCAAAAAGCTCTTTCAGATAAGCTCCATTGTCCCTGGAAGTGTGGCAGGTACTGCCAGATGGAGCAAATGGCTTGCATGAGGCCTTTCTTGCCTAACATCTTCAGTATGTGTAACCCGAAAAAGAGGTTTATTCTGCTGTTCTGGGGATTCCTTTCATAGACAAGCCCTGAAGTCCTTTCAACAGGTACAGAGGCAGCATTGTTACTCTGGGCAAGTAAATAAACTACTCCGTTTCACGGACTCCTGCCTAGATAAACTTGAACGTTCTCTTCTCGTGTGGAAACTCTACAAACACAATGGCATTAATATTAGTTTTTACCTTCAAGAGTACAAACTGCACTGTGAGAAACAGTTCTTAGGTGACAAGTCCATTCTTAAACCCTTTTCTGATGCACAACCTGGTGACTGTGAGTGGTGAGGGAGAAAAAAGCACACTGGCCTTTCTACCTTTTCTCAAGATATTAGAAATGGATAATTAAATTGTTTATGATTCAGCTTATAAAGTATGAATATTTGATGCTAAGATTAATTAGATCTAAAAATCTTTTATAAAAGCCTGTATGCTGGTACTTGATTTAACTAATAAAACTTAACAATCTCAGTAACTCCTATTTCTCTCTAATGAACTCAGCTTCGGAAAACACAAGGCTCCCCTAGAGTACTTCCTGTGCCCCCAGCTGGCGCTAGCAGAGCTCTTGTGAGTTAATCCTGAGTCATCCACAGCTCTTCTGACTGTGACTTCTCAGCTTCATGAGATGAGGGATGACAACAGTATGGAGTCTTAATGACAAGTAATCAAAGGAATGAAAAAGGTGGGCAAAATGAGCTTAAGAGCTGCAAGGTATATGGCTTTCCTTTTTAGTGACTTAAAAAAAATTTTCCAGCTAATAAAAACCTAAGCTATCAAAGTACCAGAAGGCAAGGTCCTGACTCCTTAATACTTCAACTGCAAAAATGAAATGCAATCACTCAGGGAGTTCCTGGCAAATCTTGGCTTGAATACAGTTATTTCTTTCAATAATCATCATCACCATTGCTCAGTTGGACCTTGGGGAAGTGGCTTAATCCTAATCCTCACATAATGACACACCCTTGCTGGCAGTTAATGCATGGCTTACTTTTATTTAGCCAAATATATATATTTAAAATAGAATAATAAGCACCTGCAAAACGAAAACAAAAAACAAAAGCCAGGACCCTGACAACAACCTAAATCTAACTTACTTCCCACCCATCTGTGTGCTTCCCCCAACTCAAGGGAACCCACATGCCCAACCCCCCCCTTTATAAAGCATTACCATATACATACTTTATAATGCAGAGAATTTATTTCGTTGTTTTTAACATTACAAAGAGTGCATCATGCTCTATGTAATCTTTCAGGACCTACTCTTCTAGTTATATTGCTCAGGTCTAGGCAGCCTTGTATGTTGGTACAGTGTATTTGTTTTAACAGTGTGAAGGCAGTGTGGTTCATTTACCCAATTTCCTGTTAAAGAGCATTTGGGCTGTTTCTAACTGTTAAGGTGTTCTTATCAAGCATCAGACGCTGGGATAGGTCCTGGGCATACATTATTTCATTTAATTCCCAGCCCCATGAAAGAGGATTTTTTTTCTCCTCTATTTTTCTCTGAGAAAACTGAAGCCCAATGACATTAGGACACTGGCCTCAGATTACAGTCAGTTAGAATGGATTTTGTATGTTTTTATCAAAGGAAGGTGTGAAGACTATCAGCCTTTTATTACCTACCTAACTTTATTATTAATACATCTCCTGTTACCAGGTATGGGATTGTCCTTCCACTACTGGGGAAAAGAAACTCATTATCTTATTTTATACACTGCAGAATAAATAACAGTTTCCTTGCTCCTCTGTGTCAGAAAGGAGGAAAAGTACTCATGGCTTTCTAGGAAGATTTCGTAGTTGAATTCTGGTAACCCAGGGTTTTGACTCATAGTTTAATACACACACACACAACCAGAGGATTTTCTTCCTAATTTTAATGTGAACACAAGAGCCAATTTAATCAACTTCTCTGAAGCTTTCAGAGTGTAGATAAAAGTGATTACCCGGGAAGTGGACAGGGGAGGTTGTGATTATGGCATAAAGTGTACCTAAGGGTGTAAAAATTGGTTTTAACATTCCACTGACAATGTAAATGAGAAGTGGATTTTAAATGTCCAGTTTTCGGGATGCTTGGGTGGCTTAGTGGTTGAGTATCTGCCTTTGGCTCAGGGTGTGATCCCAGAGTCCCAGGATCAAGTCCCACATCGGGCTCCCTGCATGGAGCCTGCTTCTCCCTCTGCCTGTGTCTCTGCGTCTCTGCCTCTCTCTCTCTCTCTCTGTGTCTCTCATGAATAAATAAATAAAATCTTTTAAAAAATAAATAAAATGTCCAGTTTTCTTTGAAAGTAAAAAAATTTAAATCCCTGAGCTCTTTCACCAACCTGAAGAATCCTAACCACCTACAGCACTACCACAGACACTGAGCCAGGGTGAGGTGATTAGTTTGAACTAGGTTATTTTTGTCTCTGTTTCCCGGGAAGAACCATACATAACACAACTTCTGCTTATGACTTGGATTTATGGAACTACTATTACATATACATAGTAGGTTTATTTTGGGGGTGGGCATGTTTATGTCAGAGGTACTAGTGGGATCAGCATCCTCAGGGAATTTGTTCTTATTTAGGTGGACCACCACAAAAGAGATTTGTAGCCTTGGGAAAATAGAGCCTCTTTGAAGGAAAGGGGAGATAGCTTCAAAGTGACACCAAGTGCGTTTTACTGCCAATGTAGATTCCATTCTAGAACAATCTAGAAAAATACTCATTATTCTCTTTAACATTTTAATTGTGCAATGCATAACACATAGAAAACATACAGTGTTATTTGTACAGTTTTAAATAATAACAACAAAAGGAACACCCATGTAATCACCACTCAGGTTAAGAAATAGAACCCATGGTCCCATTGTCTTCCATCCGGTGAGAAAGAACCATTCTAAGTTTTTTTTTTTTTTTTTTAATTTATTTATTTATGATAGTCACACACAGAGAGAGCGAGAGAGAGGCAGAGGCAGAGGGAGAAGCAGGCTCCATGCACCGGGAGCCCGATATGGGATTCGATCCCGGGTCTCCAGGATCGCGCCCTGGGCCAAAGGCAGGCGCCAAACCGCTGCGCCACCCAGGGATCCCAAGAACCATTCTAAGTTAAATGCGTTTTCCTTTCCTCGCTTGTCTTTATTGCTTTATCACATACATATGTAACACTGCATACATATGTAACACATCACATACATATGTAACATTATGTTCTGCCTGTTTTCAAACTTTATATAAATGAAACTATATGCAGACAGGGACTACCACTTACTTCCCTTACTGCACAACCTTAACATTCATGACAGTCCTCCATCTTGATATGTGGAGCTATAGGTCATTCATTTTCACTGATATTGTGCTTGCTTTGGCAGCACATACACATTTTCACTGATATGTAGGATTCCTATCATAAGAATATGCCACATTTTTTGCCATCCATTATAATTTGGAAGGACATTCAGGTTTTGCTTCAGAGCTTTAGGAGCTCACATAGATAGTGCTGCTAAGGACATGTCAACTATGTCCACTGGCACATATGCACAAGGGTTTTTCTAGGGTACACACCTGAGTGGGGAGTTGCTGCTGGGCAAGGTATGTCCAGGTATGATTTCAGTAGAAAATACAAATTGTTTTCCAAAGTGATTGTACTGGTTCACATTTCCACTGGGCTGAACACACCCTGGTCAACCATTTGTACTGTCAGACTTCTCTATTTTTGCCAATCTTGTGGTACGAAACGGTATTTTTCCTACACATTAGCTATTCAAGTTTTTTCTTTAATGAAGTAGTTGTTCACATCTTTAGCCTCTTTTTCTATGAGCAATCTGTTCTGTACTTTTTGATTTTATAGAATTGCTTTATCCATTCTGGAAACCCAACTACTGTCAATTATATGCACTGTAAATATATTCCACCCCTTCCTTTGACTCTCCTACAGTAAATTTTGATAAATGGAAGTTCTTAATTTTAATGCAGTCATACCAATCATTTTTCTTAAGATCTGCATCTTTTGTGACTTGTTCAAAATTCTTTCCTACTCCATAGTCATAAAGATATTCCCCTTTATTTTCTTCTAACTGATTTGAAATGTCAGTTCTGTCACTTATTATGGATCTGTTTTGGGACTCTCTATTCTGTTCCGTTAGACCAAACCACACTGTCTCAATTCACTGAAGCTTTACATTAAGTCTTGGTTATCTAGGAGGCAAAACTGAGCTCACTCTGAAAACATTATTAGCTTTAAAAACAACATAAGGAAAATCGGGACCAGAACTTACTTTGCTCTGGGCTGATGAACTAATCCTGGAATCTCTTTATTAGTTTTAAGTCTTACATTTGAACTGGCACTTTTTTCCTGAAAAACATAAACACAGATGTAAAAGACAAGGTGAGAATCAGCAATTAAACAATGGCATGGACTGTCATCACAGAAATGCTAGATTTGAGACCCTTCACAGCAGGTCACTTCGTGAGGACAAAAATCCTTGCAAAGATGTGACGCTATAAGGTAAACTGCCAAGCATTTTAGCAGGGAACACTGTCATGGAAAGAGGAGGTTGCTTTATGACAGCTATAACTATTTTTAGAAAATTATGTGCAACTAGTATTTGATGTTTAGGTGTTTTTAGGGAAGAATAGAAAAGAATAAAAGAATAGAAGATTCTAGTGCCAATGAGCAGCAGTAGTGTAACCACAGACATTGTTTACATTCTCAGGTAACAGACTTCAGTGCATTTTGTTTATAAAAGACAACTACAACTGCAGTTATTGAGATGTGAAGTTTGCACGAGGCCCTAGCATTGACAGAGACAACATGATTAACAGTAACTAAGTTATTCCATCCAGAACAAATGCTGAGATGGAATTCAATTGAATTAGTAAAATTCAATACTAACTTATATTCAAGAAGCAGTTCTTTGGCTTTAGTCTGATATGATTTCTTTTCTTTTTAAAAAATTTTATTTATTTATTCATGAGAGATACACAGGGAGAGGCAGAGATATAGGCAGAGGGAGAAGCAGGCTCTCTGCGGAGAGCCTGATGTGGTACTTGATCCCAGGACCCCAGGATCAGGAGCTGAGCCAAAGGGAGACACTCAACCACTAAGCCATCCAGGTGCCCTGTCCGATCTGATTTCTTATTCCCAGTACACTAGCCACATGAGAAAGAAACCCTCTCAGAGCTTAAGATGCAAGTGTATTGGATGCTTAGGTAGTTCAATCGATTCAGTATCTGTCTTCGGCTCAGGTCATGATCTCAGGGTCCTGGGATGGAGCCTTGCACATGGCTTCCTGGTCAGGAGGGAACCTGCTTTTCCCTTTGCCCTTCCCTGCTGTGTTTTTTTTCTCTCTCAAATAAATACAATCTTTTTAAAAATTGCAAGTATATCAGTAGGTATATCATCTCAATAATAGTACTGCTCTGTATTTATACAACATTATCTTTAAAAAATATTCAGGATGCTTTATAATTTGCTCTGAAAACACAGCACTGAAATGAAAGACTATTCCAAACCTATTTATAACAGGTGACTATATACACTCAAGAAACCTGACGTGTAGTGATAATTAAAGACCCAGGCGAGGGCAAGGAATAAAGACTCCTATGGGTCAACCCACTGTTCTTATCACATGCAGAGTGATGTGGGATGGCATATAAAACAGATGGTCCCCAAATGAACTCTTTCGGGAGTTCCTACTGCTCTCAGGGCAGCAGAAGCCATTTAAATCAGTGAAACTCCAATGATGTACACACTGTGGTTATTTGCTATTTACCATCCAATGTGAGCTTCTCTGTATAACATCAGTACTCCAAAATACAGGGTAATTTTTGTTTGTGATGGTCTAGGAAAAGAAACAATCGGTACTATTCTTTTTGCAGTCTATCTTACCTTCTTTACCTGACACTAAACTTTAGAGTATTTTCGTAAACTTTTAAAAGGTATAAAATATATACTTTTCCTCCTGCTGATACAGCCAGGGAACAATAGATGAACTATCTTAGTTTTCATTTTCAGAAAGCAGCCCCAGGAAGGCAGGCTCAGTTCCTTCTTTACTACTGGGGCCTCGGAGCCTGCGTGGGGCCTGGCACTTTGGGAGTTACGCATCATATGCCAGTAACACGAATGAACAAGGTCAACAAATGATGAACTTTTTAACAGTGAGAGATAAAAATAGCTCTAACGTGGTCTCTCTGAAGGACTGCAGAGGTAAGTCCCAAGTTAGTCATTTTCTTTCCCCCTTAGCTGCTTGCTTGAATTAAGCACTGAAAATGGACATATGACAGAGCCTTACACTTTTTTTTCTATTCATATAATTTCCCAAACTCTGAGCTTAGATAGTACATTGTAATTGACTGATTGACTGATTGATAGACTGTAATTTTAAACATTGCTAGGGCAGGAACGAGGCCTCTAATTCTAAGATTATAAATGATACACAATTGTATACTGTTTATAGTCAATTTATTAAACTGTACCCATCATAGTTACATTGCCTCACCACATCTTCCTTAAAAACACATTGTGTGGTTGCTAGGAAAAGGAGGAAACTCCACACAACAGAGGCTTAGTGGATGGGTGGGGTACTCCGCCGAACAAGCCATGCCTCTGCATATGTGCAGAGGCAAGCACTTCCAGGAACTGAGGCAGAGGCTCAGGGTGGGATTTCAGCTTCAGATTTCCCAGTTACAAATAAGAAAAAAGAAAGTATATGCTATTACATAGTGATTTCTCTGATTATTTATGTATAATATATTTGTTTTTTATAAATTACTACTCCCAAGGGCACCTGGGTGGCTTAGTGGTTGAGCATCTGCCTTTGTTCAGGTCATGATCCCGGGGTCCTAGGATCGAGTCCTGCATTGGGCTCCCCACAGGGAGCCTGCTTTCTCCCTCTGCCTGTGTCTCTGCCTCTCTGTGTCTCTCAAGAATAAATAAATAAAATATTTAAAAAAAACAACAAATTACCACTCTCCAAGACCGTAATAACAACTCAATGATCACTTACTATATATATAAGTCAGGCACTATTCTAAGTGACTTCCATATATTAACTCATTTTAATACTCACAAATATTTACATATATTAACATATCTTTATGTTCATAATACCTCACTGAGATAGGTACCATTTTTATTTTCATTTTATTTTATTATTTTTAAAAAAGATTTTATTTATTTATTCATAAAAGACAGAGAAAGGCAGAGACCTAGGCAGAGGGAGAGGCAGGCTCCCTGGAGGGAGCCCAACGTGTGACTCCAGTATCACGCCCTGAGGTGAAGACAGACACTCAGCCACTGAGCCACCCAGGTGTCTCTCTTCTGATTTTTAGATCTTAGCATTTGTTGCCACTTCCATTTGTTTGGCACTTATTTATGACTTATCATTATTAGTTACTATCTCCATTTGTCTTATTTGCTGTGTCTGAATTTTAAGCTCCCTGAGGACAAGAATCTTTTCAATTACTTGGTATTTTAACCTAATACCCACCACATAGTAGATAACTATTAATCAGTTGATTGTAATAATTAATAGAACTAACCAGAAAATATTTTTCACTGTTGACTCTTATTGCAAATATTTATAAAAGCTATTATACTTTATCTTAGTGCAGTTAACGTAAATATTTTATTATTGAGGATTTCTCAATAATTGATGATCTGGAAACATGATTTATTTGATGTTTTTGTTTGTTATGCTAGATCCTTGGCATATGCTTGCTCTTTTGTTTTTTATATGGACTGCAGAAGACCATCCAAGTTTTTTTTTTTTTTTTAAGATTTTATTTACTTATTCATGAGAGACACACAGGAGAGAGACAGAGGCAGAGACACAGGCAGAGGGAGAAGCAGGCTCCCATGCAAGGAACCTGATGTGGGACTCGATCCTGGGACTCCAGGATCACACCCTGAGTGGAAGGCAGACACTCAACCGCTGAGCCACTGAGGCATCCCTTTATTCCCATTTTATAGATGAGAAAGCTGAGGCACTGAGAGGTGAAGCATTTACCTGAGATCATACGAGTAATAAGTGATAGCGTTGGGATTCTGATCCAAGCAGAATGGCCCCAGAGTCCATGCTATTAGCCACGAGGCCAGCAGTTCTCAAACCCCTTTGCCCATACTCTTCAAATTTTTATACATTTTGTAGAACCATATGAAAAAAAAAAACCACATTTGTTAAAATTACCATCAATTTCATTAGGAAAATTTTGACAGAAGCTGTCAAGCTCATGGTGGTATAAAATTTTCCAAAACTCTACTTTTGGTTTAATGTTTGAATTTTGTGACTGGCAACACATACTGCCAATTGTTTTCTTTGAAGTGACAGGTTCTCTTCATTCATTCTTGAGACAATGTTTGCCAAATACCCAAGTCTTAATGTCCATAATTTGTCTGTCAGGCATTTTTTTTCTAAAGTAGAGATGGTGTCCCATAAAAACAACCACTAGTTCAGACTGCAACTCAATCAGCTGCTGAGGTACTTTTCCTTGAGATAACCACTTTGCCTGGGTGTGCAGAAGAAATGCTTTACATATGCCTATTTCCCATCTCATCACACAGACTATTAAAAAGCTATGCATCCAAGGCACAATATTTAATAAAATTAAATAAAAGTTACTGCTTCATTCTTAAATGAAAATGGAAGCTATTCTTTTACTGTAAGTGCATAGTGGTGGTGAATAAGATGACTACTTATATGGTTTGGCACTACTGCCTTGATTTGTGCTAAGGCACTAGGCAGGTCTACCCATCATGATTTTGCACCGTCAATACAAATAACAACATGGCAAAAAAGGCAAACTGCTTTTTAGTATTGTTAGGGAAATGAACTTGAGGACATCCTGAGACTGTTTTAAGGACTGCAGGCCATACTTTGACAAGTGTCTCTCTAGTTCTTTTGCAGAGAAAAGAACTATTGATTATTTAATTTGCTATATGCTTTATTATTTTTTTTAAATATTTTTTTAAATTTTTATTTATTATTTATGATAGTCACAGAGAGAGAGAGAGAGGCAGAGACACAGGCAGAGGGAGAAGCAGGCTCCATGCACCGGGAACCCGACGTGGGATTCGATCCCGGGTCTCCAGGATCGCGCCCTGGGCCAAAGGCAGGCGCCAAACCGCTGCGCCACCCAGGGATCCCTAATTTGCTATATGCTTTATTAAAAAAAAAACTAACCACCTTATTGAGGTAAAATTTACATTTCATAAAATTCCATTATAAATGTATGATTAAGTGACTTTAGCAAATTTATAGAACTGTACAATTATCACCACAATCCAGTTTTAGAACAGTTTTATCATCCTAAAGTTTTCTCAAACCCATTTGCAGTTCTTTTCTGCTCTGCTCT